GCCCGGAGCCGCAGTCCCAAGGTCCCGGAGCCGCTATCCGCGCCGCTGAAACCGCCGCATTTCCAGGGTCTGCAAACAGCTGTGCCGCAGCTACGGGGGGGGGGCGACCTGCGCTTGGGAGTGCCTGCAGCTGCTTTGCTACCCAGCTCATCCTACCTGCACTGCCGCGTGGTGAGACAATTCCGGCCACCCCAGCTTATAGGGGAAAGTACCTGCACACAAATCGCGACCCTATACGGCAACTTCGTCGGGCATATCCCTCCCCCTCCTTCCCTCACTTAAATAAGTAAATAAGGTGTGTAACTAAGGTGTACTTCATGTGTTTTAATCACTCATTTTGAACCTCCTGCCCCAAATTGCTTTGTTTTCCCCACAATAAACCGTGCATTTCGTAAATTCTAATTGGGGATTGGCTGCTGTTATTGGAAATATTAGTAAGCACTGAGCAAGTTATTCACTCGAAAAAGTCAGGGCATAAGCCCCTGTCTCCTCTGTGTGAGGTGATACCCACGTGTGGATCTCTCAGCAAATCCTGATAAGTTAATACACTCCAATAAGGAGATATAATAGGTCACGGATCGTGACACAAACCCTAAAAAGATACGCTTGTCTCATGTTCCCCAAAACAAGCATAACTAAATACAGTAACATCCTCCTGTCATAAAATGATGTGACTTTTCTGATCTTTGTAAGGACTTATAGTGATGGGAAGGGGGAAGCAGAGCTTGGGAAAACCATGTTGTGCTCTCATGAAATAGGAAAAGAAGGTGATGAGGGGAATATGTAGGCATTTAATGAGTGTTAGCTCACTTAAATGGCATTTCAGTCATTATTAGCTGGGAAGACTGTGACTGGGACATTGAAAGCATTTGTAGTTTAAAGATTTTCAGTAAACTGAAAATAAGAGAACAAACAGGTGAAAAAACCCACACACCTTCTTTTCCAGCCTGTCAATCAGTTTTTGGAGTCTGTTTATCTGAGTCACCCACTGGCTGTCTTCCTCAATCCAACCTTTGGAAAATATAAAAAAAATAACATTTATAAAAGGTTTCTAAATGCTGGAGAATAGTATATTAATTTATTTTATAAACAAGTTTATCTTAGGTTGCAATTTATTTTGCTTCTCAGTGATTATGCTGCAACTACTTCAATGTTCATTTAGGTGTAAGTAAAGGAAAACATTATTTGACTATATGAATTATTTTCTTTCTTTCAAAGATAAGAGTAAAAATCCAGTACAGAATGACAACTACATTCTAGGCTAAAATCATGCTGATACCTGAAGAAAGGAATACTATCCTCTGCAGATGGAATCAGCTCATAACCTCAGCACCTTCTGCTCAAAATGCAAAATAAGCTTGGGTTTGTGGGTATGTTAAAGCTTTCTCTGTCTTAATATTTTTCCTTAGTTTGCCATTTCTTAATCTTTTTTATGTAAAAGTTTTTGTACAAGTAAGTCAGCTCTTCTGCTGCCTAGTCAGACTGTCTCTGGGATGCCTTTCAAATATATCCCATGGAGAGACCATGTGCTGTGTCTTTTCTGCTAGTCCTCTTTCACCTGAGAGCACTGGTGAAGGTAAAAAAAATGCAGTCAAAACTGTCTTGAATATCCTTGGCATGGTCAATACAGCTTAGGTGCTACCATCTATCTTCCTTCTGCAGAGAGACAGCAGACTTGCTGTAGGATCCTGGCTGGTAGGACTTTGCTGTGGTCCTGACACAGTGCTTCCAGCAGGATTCCAGGATTATTCAGAGTATGTATGTTGCTCCCCAATTAAAATAAATAAATAAATAAGTTCTTATAAACAGCAGAAAATAATTGGGTGTAAATTTGCAGCTAAATGATTGATGTTTCTGGCATGTCCTGTTCAGATCCGAGTGGTCAAGAAGTGGGCTTGACCCATCAGGTACTTTGGTGTTTCAGCCATCTTCAAGCCTTGTTTCTCAGATACATGACAAAGCCTAGAGATGCCTTCCCTGCAGCCTCATGCTTGATGTCAGTGCTTCCAAAGAATCCCTCCCATGTTTTCCAACGCAGAAATGCTGTCTCAGATGGGTACTTCTTTGTAGCATCGTAAAAAATTTTTTTTTCTTTCAGGTTTTGTGTTTCTCTTTCTGTTTCATGTTTGTTTCTCTCAATTTGGATGCAAGTCATGACAGAGAACTTGGTTCTGTATAGGTTACAGCCTTTGCCATTTCATTCTTACCTGCAGGCTACATGTTACCTAAGAAATGCTCAATCAACCCCAAAAAAACAGTTTGGCTTATAATTATGTATTTATTTTTTAACAGTTCAGATCTATGGGTACATATTTATTTTCCTTACCATATGAGCTAATATTCTGTATTAAATTGAAGATTGATTTCTGTCAGTAAAATATCTGAGATACCATTTCTAAATAAAATTTTTGAGAGGAAGGTACATGGAGTTTTTTCCCTAAATGTTTGTGCATGCACATGTTTTAAATAACTTTAAAATGTGAAATACTCTACCTGTGCCAAAATGAGGGCTATTTAGTGACAGGCTGTTGTTCCTCTGAAGCCTTCGAGCTGAGCGTTTTCCTGGCCACGGAACTGAGAGCACTTCTGGTTTTGTTGGACCTTGTCTGCACAGAAACACAGTAGACTTCATAAGGTAAAACATGTGGGAGAGATCTCCTCTCTCTGTTTTCAAAAAATGTGCTTGTATGTTGCCTTTTGAATTGAAATGGAGAAATACCTATTGATTCCACTGAATTATTTTCTGTATTTTCACTATTAATAATTAGTTGTGTATAGGTTGCTAGTGAAGAGAAAAAAAAAAGAAAAAAAAAAAAAAAAAAGGAGGCTTAAGCTGGTGTAAACTTCTCTTTTAGGGAGAGAAAGCCCTGGGTCAGTGTCTGTCTGTCGTGTGATTCTGACCTGGCCTAATTTTTCTAGCATCTCTGCAGAGGAACTGGGATCACAAGAACACCTAAAGTGAGATATGAACTTTAAACATTGGCCCCTTCAGCTTAAAGACAGAAAAAATAAACAACAGTTTATATCTCTTGATAAGGAAGGAAAATGTATGATAATTACCTAATAATGGATGGAGTACAGATACATTTTCAGGGACCAGCACTGAAATATGGCAGATACAGAATTATTTTTGTTTCTACAGTGATGACAGAGTTACTGAAACTTCAGAGTCTGTGTGAGGACTGAGGGCTATCTCTACATGGTTCTTCCTCATCATCCAACTAGAGAGCAGTGAAGAACCAGAACTATGGCTAGTTTTGAACAGTTAGTTGGATGGATGAGTGGTTGCAAAGAATAGTAGACAGCAGTCTCAACAGTTCGTAAACAATTCCCAGGTCACTTCTTTGGAAAGCTCCCTAGTCTCCTAAAGTACAAAATGAAGGCTTACCAAAAGCTCACACATTATGTTAAGGAGATGTTTTAAGATGGCATTTTATGCAGCATAAAATCCCTTTACAGTAAGCCACATTATGTCAGTTCTACGTACAACCCACCACAGGACCAGACTGGAACCTGTTGTACTCAATTTCAGGATTTATTTCCTATTTGGAATAAAAGTGTATCCTTATTTATCATAGAATGGTTTGGGTTGGAAGGGACCCTAAAGCTCATCTAGTTCCAACCTCCATGCATGGGCAGGGTCATCTCCCACTAGACCAGTTTGCTCCAAGCCCCATCCAACCTGCCCTTGAACACTTCCAGGGATGGGGCATCCACAACTTCCCTGGGCAACCTGTGCCAGTGTCTCACCACCCTCACAGTGAAGAATTTCTTCCTAATGTCTAAACTAAATCTACCCTCACCCAGTTTAAAGCCATTACTCTTGTCCTTTCACTACATGCCCTTGTAAAAAAGTCTCTCTCCAGGTTAGTGGGTGAAATGTAAAACGGTCTTGGAGGTTCACAAGTTGGGCAAGAGGATTGCTCACCTCTCCTGCCTAGTCTGCTCCTCTGTAGTTTCCATGGCACATTCCAGGGAGCTCTGGAGGGACTGAAGCTGATTCACTGTTTCCTTCAAAAGAAAGCGAGTCACAAACTGCTCCAAATTAGAAGCTTCTTGATAGTCCTAAAATGACATAAACAACAACATAAAGAGATGAAGATTTGCCTACAAGGTTAGAAATATGTGAGGGAAGATTCAGGCTTAATTCAGAAAATAAGCAAATTGAAATACATGCAGCTTGCTTATACATGCAAACCACATAAGTAGCCTATATGTTTCTGAACAGAAAGACCTCTGAACTTTCAGGTATAGACATGGATCCCGCTCAGACTGAGAGAGTTCCAGGTACACAGTGGCAAAACATAGTTCCTACTAAAAAAACCCCATTTCTTCATATTTCTTAACTCTAGTTGAGGGCAGTACCACATTACTTGCTTAAGCATGGAAAAGCCAAGATATGATTGAAAACTGCAGAACTGAATTGGCTGAAGCACTGTCTGTGCCAGAGAGATTGTCTTCTGAATTTGTGTCTTTGACTGAATTGTGTTCCTTTAATTTGTTTAATTATTTTTGAAACCATAGATCTAAATATTTCACAATTATATTAAATTACAGTAAGACAAGGGGTAGTGGTTTTAAACTAAAAGACAGTAGATTTGGACTAGACGTAAGGAAGACACTTGTTTACAAGGAGGGTGGTGAAACACTGGAAGAGGTTGCCCAGTGAGGTGGTAGATACCCCATCCCTGGAAACATTCAAGGTCGTTGGAACAGGCTCCAACCTGAGCAACCTGATCTAGCTGAAGATGTCTCTGCTTACTGCATGGGGATTGGACTAGATGACCTTTAAAGTTCCCTTCCAACCCAAGCCATTCTGTGATTCTCTGACTACGAAATGCATCTCAATGTTGAGTTGGAGCTTGGTTATTAAAAAAGTTTGCACCTACATTTAGTCTGTAATGGTTCTTTGTTTAATGACATTTCCAATATATTTTATGTGTTCAAAAAATATTTATGCCTCTTTGGGGTAGATAATTTCAGAAATAAAATTTCACACTTGCTCTCTCCTTGGCCCAACGAATCATATTTCCATGGATGGGGTTGACTTTAGCATTTCTGGCAAGCCCAGATCATGACATGGAAACAGTGCTGTGGTACAGGGATAACCTATACAATAATAGAAACATCATCTTTGTTGTTTTCTCATTAATAAATGTGATAGAGAGAAATAGCAGACCCCAAGAACCTCTTCTCACTGTGTAGACCTCCCATCAGGAATAGAGAAGGAAAATGGGTTTCCATCTCTTAAACTCTGAATGAATTTATTGGCTTCTACTCTGATGAAATTCTGCTGGTGTCTATTTTTCATAAGCCCTAGGTCTGCTTATGTGTGCAGAAAAGCCTCTCAGCTGATCTAGGAAGCTTTTGGGTACAATTCCATGTAAAATTATTTCATAAAATATGAGGCACGTTGAATGAAAGGTTTCTATAATCTCTTTTAGACTCCTCTTAGGTTTTTTGCATGTGTGTATTGTTGCTATCAGAAAACAAATAGGGGATCTTTTGAAACTTAAATATAAAAAAAATGATTGTAAGAAAATAGCTTTAAAAGCATTTTGCCCTTAAATGAGAGCAATCTATTTCCAATATATGTTGTTAAGTTAGTTCTTTTTGGAAGGCTTCTGCTATAGGCATCTCATATGTTAAACCCCCTGTGAATCATCAGAAGCTACTTAAGTAGCCAGAAGCATCACAGTCTTCTACATTTACATCTTCTGTCTTCAGATTAGTCAGGTGTGAGCCACCCTGCAACAAATAATTTCTTATTTATACATATTTAAAATAGATACTCGTGGGAGATTGTATGTCTACCTTTAGAGTGAATACCTGAGCCTCAAACCAGTCCTATAAATAACATTTATGGGAACATTTATGATTACTGAATCTCATTATGCAATACAAAAGCTGATTTTAAATTGTTTCCATTGTAACTGATTTAAAACTTCATTGCACCTGACAGATAATGTAATTTCCAAAAAAATTTATTCTCTGTGGCATGTTAGAACAAGGTGTGCAAATCTGTGTAGCATGGGTAGTTAAATAAAACCCTGCAGCAGAAATCAGGGTATGTATGTTTTTGAATACTAAAGCAATCTCACAAGAGGAGGATAATCAAAGTGTTTTGAAATTCTGGGCATTCAAAAAGTAGATGTTACAGATAGGTCCACAGAGCTTCCTGCTCATAGTCATGGAAAATACGATACCAGCATGTTGAACTACACCTTGAAACATGCAGCAATACTGTGTCACTTTGCTAACTGTTCAGGTGGGCCCTCACTGATAGGGGGAGCATATCAACATCAGCTGTGTAATGCTATAACTGTCTGAGGCTGTCTGCTTTTTGACTCCTTCAGAAATGCCTTCCTGCATTTGAAAGTTAGTAAAGCTTCTTTTCACCAGAATATTCTACTTTTGTGCATTGCAACAGGATATAATATTTTTTTCTTCCTGTTCTGTTGTCCCATAGGTTCTGTATTTAAAGGCTTCCCTGTGGAAAAGGTACTTGTGATCTCTAAATATGGCTTAGAGTTACATTATGTAGGTAGAGCTTTTTTGTAAAGATGGGCTTGGCAGGCAGGATCTCCCATCACCTGGGGGAGTCTAGAATTATCAGACTCTTTCCTTATGTATATTTTACACAAATACTGGTGTTTACTGCTCTTCTATGTGAAATTACTTAACTCTCTTAATGCATTCAGTTCGACAAACAGCTACTCAATATTTTCCTTTAAATAATGACTCTGAGGCCAGCAATTCTGAGCTCATAGAAATCCTGGGCAACTTAAATTCCTGCCTGCTGAAAAGTAACTAACTACTCCTACCTGTCCTTCTAAAATTCTTCAAAGATCATGGAAGAAGGTATTCAGCATCTGTAAATCGCCAGCTTTGTTATAGTTTAAGCCATGGAGGGAAAATTACAATTCAACGTAAACCTCAACTCCAGCACTCAGCAATGAGGAATTACCAGCTGTGCTTTGTTTTCGTTTCATCACTCTACTTCCTACAGAAAAGTGCCTTCATTTGCATTTTACTAAAGGCATACTGGTACAAGATTTCACTAGAGGAAATAAAATGTTAATTCAGAATTAAGAAAAATGTGTATACATTTATTAAGTGTATATTATGTTATAAACAGTGTAACTGCATGCCTGTCATTTGTATTGTCAGCATACTGTACCACCAATTAATAATGGGACCCACTGATGGCATCTATACATAAATTAGAAAAATGGCCTGTTTCTTGAATTTCATTAGCTGTAAATTACCATTCATTAGCATATACATTATACTGCACAGCAGTTTGTGCAGTTCAGATGAAATAAATCTGTGTTAACATATCATTCTGCTTGTTAGTTTTACTGATGGTGAGAGAATGAGGGTAATTTTCCACATCTTCCTCATCAGGAGAAAACTGCGACCTTTGTGAGAAGCTAGGATTTGGGTTTCCATTAATGCAATTGAAAATACACATAATTAGTGATTTCCCTGTGGAAAAGGTCATGGTGGTCTTTAAAATGGCTTGCAGCTATCTTAAAAGTTACAGAAGAGCTTCTCCTCTTCTAAAGACAGAGGAGGCAGGGCTCAGGTATCTCCTAAAGGAGTCCGCATCTCAAGGCTGTGACAGGTTCAGCGACTCTCTTGATCCTCTCCAGCCTGGTGCTCTCCCCACAGGTGACCTGGCACCACGCTGATCCACTTAGAAGGGGAACTCCTTGAGGTGTTGAAGGAGGGAGATACCTGTGTTTTGTTACCTGGGGCAAGCAAACTGGCTTGGATGGGACAAAAAATATCTCTGAAATCTCTCAGCAGGGGTGGGAGCTTAGGCAAGAGCTCCACAAACTTAGGGGAAAAGGATGTCTGGCTGTCATCTAGTCCAACCCCCTGTTCACAGCAGGGCCAACTTCAAAGCTAGCTCAGGCTCCCTGGGGACATGTCAGATGAGTTTGGAAGGTCTCCAAGGATGGAGAAGACAACATCTCTCTGGTCCATTGTTGGTTTAACCCTCTCCATGTGAAGTATTTTCCATAAGTCAGCATTTTCCCTTCCACAGGCTGTATCTGTTGTTGCCTTTTGTGATTTTGCTTGGCACCCCTGGAAGAGACAACATTGCTTTGCCTCCTCTGTAGTGGTCCCTTGGTCTCTCCTTTCTATATTGCTGTTTTTCTGTATACTAGTTTATTATTTAACACTTTTCTTTAGAACTTATTTATTTGTGCTTGATTTTATTTATAACATTACTTATACTAATTCTCTATTACTGTTATATTTGTTTGCAATTTTCTGTTTCCTATTTTATATCTTGGATCAAAGAAATGTCATAAAAATTATTTATGCTTATCTTCACAGGTGAACTGAAAAGTTTTGAGTAAAACTCAGTAAGGAATAGTCTATTTAAATTTCCCTTGCTCATGGAATGTCTCCTGCCCTGTGTGTTCAGACCCTGCATTAGTGGGACAATGCCCTGGGTCACAACTTTGAACTGAGAATATTAAATTATTCAGAAAAACTATACAAAAATTAAAAAGAATTCAAGCTTTTTAAATTTTGGTCAATAAGTTCTAATTCTTCAGACTCTAGGATAGAGTCAGAACAGAGCCAGAATAAAATAATTATTTCAACAGAAGCCAGATCCAGAGATGCTCACAGTGTTGACTTCAAACAAATGCAACTTTTATAGCATCCTCATCATAAGAGTGAGCAAAGTCATAACATGCCAAACCTTTAATAGATTCAATTTTAGTTTTGTAAACTTTACAAGTTTTTCAAAGTATTTAAAAGTATTAATTATTCAGAATAGATTACATGTTTAAATTCTGCCTAGAGAGCTGGAACAGTGACCACCTCTACTAACCACTTGCAGTATTGACATAAGAGCAACAAAATAAAATAGGCAGCCAGGGGTTATCATAGGAGTATTTTGACACACATTTGGAATAGTGGGCACAAGGACAGCACAAGAGTCTATCACTCTCCTATACTGGGATTATTGAAGAAGCAAGGCACTCTTATTGCAATAATAGTATGTAAAAAAATTAATGCATGGATACAAAGTCAGTCCTATT